GGAGGAGGGCGTGGCTGTGTAGAAGTGGGCGTGGCTGTGTACGGGAGGAGGGCGTGGCTGTGTAGAAGTGGGCGTGGCTGTGTAAGGAAGGAGGGCGTGGCTGTGTAGACGTGGGCGTGTCAATCTCGACCTGGACACACTGAGAACACCAACGTTGGCACTATCACTACCAAGCACTCATTTACGAGAACAACTTCCTGCCAATTGACAAGCGCAAGTACCACTGTGTGAACAAGTACCACTGTGTGAACAAGCACCACAGTGTTAACAAGCACCACAGTGTTAACAAGCACCACTGTGTTAACAAGCACCACAGTGTTAACAAGCACCACTGTGTTAACAAGCACCACAGTGTGAACAAGCACCACTGTGTTAACAAGCACCACAGTGTTAACAAGCACCACTGTGTTAACAAGCACCACAGTGTGAACAAGCACCACAGTGTTAACAAGCACCACAGTGTGAACAAGTACCACAGTGTGAACAAGTACCACTGTGTGAACAAGTACCACTGTGTGAACAAGTACCACTGTGTGAACAAGTACCACTGTGTGAACAAGTACCACTGTGTGAACAAGTACCACAGTGTGAACAAGTACCACTGTGTGAACAAGTACCACTGTGTGAACAAGTACCACTGTGTGAACAAGTACCACTGTGTGAACAAGTACCACTGTGTGAACAAGTACCACTGTGTGAACAAGTACCACTGTGTGAACAAGTACCACTGTGTGAACAAGTACCACTGTGTGAACAAGTACCACTGTGTGAACAAGCACCACTGTGTTAACAAGCACCACTAACTTGTATTACAGCTGTAGCATGATCCTAGAGTGAGCTTAATTAATTACTTTGCCAACGCCAACACGGAAGGCTTAACTATCACGACAGTAAGGCAAAGATTACTTGGGTAACGTAGCGTCGATAAAGAGAGGATTGGTTGTAGTAGTGGTGCGATGGGTCGAATGAGACAGGATGGGTCGAAGCGGTTGTGCGATGGGTCTCACCTGGAGTATACCTCAAGTGGGTTCTGAGAGTTGTTCTACCTAGGCTTGACTTGGTATGTCTTTGTCCAACAGGCTGTTGCTTGGAGCGACCCGTAGGTCCACGTATCCACTACAACTCTGTTGGTCCACTTTTGTTTCAGCAATATTTATAATCCTTACTGGGAGGATACTGAATAGTTGAGGTTCATAGTGTTCTCTGTGTCTATGGCACTTCTACTCCTCGCTGGTGTTATTTTGCATTTCCTTCCATATCGTTCCTTCAGTATGTTGTTATTTTACGGTATAAATGTGAGACCTGACCTTCCAGTATCTTCCAGTTTTTGTAATTGCTTTCTCGTCTCCTTTTAGGGAGCACATTTGGAGAGCTTTTAGACGATCTCAATAGTTTAGGTGCTTTATCGCGTCTATGGTTGCCATATATGTTCTCTGTACTCCCTCTATTTCAGCAATCTTTCCCGCTCTGAAGGAAGAAGTGAGTACCGATCAGTACTCAAGGCGGGCCAGTACCAGTGACTTTTATAGTATTAGTATTGTGAATGGATCCCTGGATTTGAAGGTTCTCATAATCCATGCTATCATTTTGTGGCTGATGCTATATTTGCTTTGGTATTTTCAATTACCGTCAGATCTTCGAACAATATTACTCACAGATCCCTTACCATGTTCTTTTCTTGCCTTGAGTAGATCTGATTGTGTCTTGTTGCCTGAGCTTCGTTTAAGGTCTTCATTTTTACCGTACTTAAGTATATGGAATTTATCACTGTTAAAAATCAATGTTATTTACTGCAGCCCAATCGAAAACTTTATTTATATCAGCTTGTATTTTTTTCAAGTTTTTCTACAGACGTAACTTTCATGGTGATTTTTGTGTCGGCTGCAAAGGATGACACGAAGCAATAATTATATTTTTATCTATATCTAATATAAGAATGAGAAACAGCAGTGGTGTATTGACTGTGCTTTGAGGTACAAAGCTTTCACTGAGCTTGGAATTGAGTTTGTTTGACTGTTACTCTTTGTATTCTGTTTGACAGGAATTTGAATAAGCTATTCCTGCGGATCTTTTTTTATAGGCCATGACTCCATGATCAAATGTATCAAATGCCTTGTATACAACATATCCATTTCGTGATTTTGTCATAGTGATTGAGTACTTGCAAAGGACAGGATCTTCCCGCTCAATATCCACGTTGGCCTGAAATGTGACGGTCAATAAAACCGGAGATTTGACTCCAAATCAATCGAAAGCTTTAATTATATTGATGTTAGTGCGACTGGAATATAATTTTTGGCCAATGCTTTGCTTCTCCCTTTGTGGAGTGGAGCTAATGTCTGCTGAGTTACGTGTTGTTGGTATCTCACAAGTATCAAAGATTTTTCTCCACATAATATTTAACATTTGTGTTATGGCATTTCATAAATATGGAACTCCAGGAGTTTGAGCCCAGGGCCGAGTGCATTAGCATATTGCAATAAGTGTGCATAAGTCATAAGTCGACAAATGACTTGAGAATGGTCCAGGACGGACAGAAACGTCGTCGTCCCTTCACTTTCTAGTGTGTGGACTGGTCACCATTACAAATTTCTCTTACAAAGGCTCCTGTTAACATCGGTTACATATTAAGTTAAGTAATCGGTTACACCGAGTTTTGGTCATGGTTTATAAAGATGATGTCCGGATCTTCGACCTTCAAGTTGTTTAACGAATTTTTAAATTGCCTCAAACTGATCGTTTAGGATCTCATCCTTTGTGTACTTACCTAATTGTACTTACCTAATTGTGCTTGCGGGGGTTGAGCTTTGGCTCTTTGGTCCCGCCTCTCAACTGTCAATCAACTGGTGAACCTTTATTTGTAAGAATAAGTCCAATACTGGAGGAGGTGTTTGATTTTGATTTTGCATGTGTGAGAAAGTGTTTTGGATTTGATTCTTCTCTGTTCTATGGCTTTGCAACATTTGTATTTCTTGCGTCTGGCACGACTGTGTCAGTTTCTGCTCTGTTCTTCCAGACTCTTGTGTTTAAATTACATTTTCTTTGTTGTGAAAGATGTGGGATGGGTCACACTGTTGTATGGGTCAAAGATGTGGGATGGGTCGAGGAAGGGGAGTAACGGGCTTAAACAAACCTGAGAAGTACAAACAACACAATTATGCCAACAGAGAGTCCAAGGCAGTAACAAAAACACGAGAATAACGGACCAGCCGAGGAATGACAGATCCAATAGTAACCAGAAAACACCAAATACTTAACAAGAGAATTATACGTGAATACGATTAAATAACAAGAAATAGGGTCGGAACTAATTTAAGTCGTCGCATCAATTCAAACGACCTATCGGTTATCTTGAGGTTATCAAGATAACCGGTCCTCGACCAGGCCTCCACCCCCAGGAAGCAGCCCGTGTCAACTGACTAACTCCCAGGTACCTATTTACTGCTAGGTAACAGGGTGAAAGAAACTCTGCCCATTGTTTCTCGCCGGCGCCCGGGATCGAACCCGGGACCACAGGATCACGCGTCCAGTGTTATGTCCGCTCAACCATCGGTACCGCTGATAACCTCTCAATCTGTATTCCTTGGTATAGGTTATCTTGAGATGATTTCGGGGCTTTAGTGTCCCCGCGGCCCGGTCCTCGACCAGGCCTCCACCCCCAGGAAGCAGCCCGTGACAGCTAACTAACTCCCAGGTACCTATTTACTGCTAGGTAACAGGGGCATTCAGGGTGAAAGAAACTTTGCCCATTTGTTTCTGCCTCGTGCGGGAATCGAACCCGCACCACAGAATTACGAGTCCTGCGCGCTATCCACCAGGCTACGAGGCCACTGCCGGCAAGGTATGCAGGCAAGTTACATATAATTCATTATTCGAGAAATATTAGGTCTAATTCTAATGATAAATGAGAATTTATAACTAAAAATAGATGGACGATTACTCACAAGTTAGTGATTTTTTTTTAAGATTTTGTATATCGTGAACAGTTCCAAGTAGCACTTTAATTATTATTAACATTATTTGGCCAGCCTGGGAGTGGAAGAACTCACGAAATACACTTCAGGTATGATCCAGGTATAACATAAGCATGACTTTGTTCTTGCTGGCATTAATTCATATTATTACTATTATTATTCTTAATGAAGCCTAAGGTCTCCAGTCTGATCAAACTTTACACAAGAACAATGGAAAAGAAACATGAAGAAGAATGGGGAGAGGAAGAGAAGGAAGGGATGGAAGAGAGAAAAAAACGAAAAAGATGAATAACTAACAATAATGAACAAACAGGAGAACCAATAAGAGGAAAAACAGGACAAAACAACGGGAAGGCATTGTTTTGCCTTAATATCCTTAATATCCTTTGCCTTAATATGCCTTAATATTTGCCTTAATATTGCCTTTGTGAAGGCCTTAATATCCACGATAATTAAGGACAGACAAAAGCAGGCGATGAGTCACAATAACGTGGCTAAAGTATGTTGACCAGACCACACACTAGAAGGTGAAGGGACGACGACGTTTCGCTCCGTCCTGGATCATTCTCAAGTCCATTGTGAATGGTCCAGGACGGACCAAAACGTCGTCGTCCCTTCAGCTCCTAGTGTGTGGTCTGGTCGACAGACAAAAGTCCTACCCTCACCATTGTGGTCTCACTACGGTCTGAGGAAGACTGAAAGAAGAGGGAAGGAACGAGAGGGAAGAGAGGGGAGGGACAGACAACTCCTTCCCATTCTTTGTCGCTCAGAAAAAGACTAGAATAGAACGTCCTTCAGAGACAGATTTTTAAGTGATTAGGTTGGTATTGTAGGTGTTTTATTGTGGGGGTCCACTGGGAGGTGTTTTATTGTGGGGGTCCACTGGGAGGTGTTTTATTGTGGGGGTCCACTGGGAGGTGTTTTGTTGTGGGGGTCCACTGGGAGGTGTTTTGTTGTGGGGGTCCACTGGGAGGTGTTTTATTGTGGGGGTCCACTGGGAGGTGTTTTATTGTGGGGGTCCACTGGGAGGTGTTTTATTGTGGGGGTCCACTGGGAGGTGTTTTATTGTGGGGGTCCACTGGGAGGTGTTTTACTGTGGGGGTCCACTGGGAGGTGTTTTATTGTGGGGGGGGGGGTCCACTGGGAGGTGTTTTATTGTGGGGGTCCACTGGGAGGTGTTTTATTGTGGGGGTCCACTGGGAGGTGTTTTATTGTGGGGGTCCACTGGGAGGTGTTTTACTGTGGGGGTCCACTGGGAGGTTTTTACTGTGGGGGTCCACTGGGAGGTGTTTTATTGTGGGGGTCCACTGGGAGGTGTTTTACTGTGGGGGTGGAATGAGCTCCCACAGGTGTTCAATTGCAAAGACCTTCCTGAGCTGTGACTGGCTAACAGGAATGCTTCAAAACACAACGAGTCATATGATTGGCTGAAAGGAGCTCTACCACAGAGCAACGACTGGCTAAAACCTTACCTTGGGCGGCTGTGTGGGCCGAGGGTGGCTTGGAGCGGGTGGTAGTAGTGGTAGTGCTGCTGCTGGTGGTGGTGGTAGTGGTGGTAGAGGTGGTGGTAGTGGTGGTAGTACCGCTACCAATGAGTCGTTCCGTAGCAACAGGAACCATCAACACCGATGCCTTCAGGAGGATGAGAGGATAAGATGAGTTTACTGTAGATCTCTGGATGCTGGGATGGGGGGGGGACAGGTGTGGGAGAGTACGAGCAGGGATGGAGACGGGTGTGGGATAGTACGAGCAGGGATGGAGACAGGTGTGGGATAGTACGGGCAGGGATGGAGACAGGTGTGGGATAGTAGGAGCAGGGATGGAGACAGGTGTGGGATAGTACGGGCAGGGATGGAGACGGGTGTGGGATAGTAGGAGCAGGGATGGAGACAGGTGTGGGATAGTACGGGCAGGGATGGAGACGGGTGTGGGATAGTACGAGCAGGGATGGAGACAGGTGTGGGATAGTACGGGCAGGGATGGAGACGGGTGTGGGATAGTACGAGCAGGAATGGAGACAGGTGTGGGATAGTACGGGCAGGGATGGAGACAGGTGTGGGATAGTAGGAGCAGGGATGGAGACAGGTGTGGGATAGTGCGAGCAGGGATGGAGACAGGTGTGGGATAGTACGAGCAGGGATGGAGACAGGTGTGGGATAGTACGTGCAGGGGCGGAGACAGGTGTGGGATAGTACGAGCAGGGATGGAGACGGGTGTGGGATAGTACGAGCAGGGATGGAGACAGGTGTGGGATAGTACGGGCAGGGATGGAGACGGGTGTGGGATAGTACGAGCAGGAATGGAGACAGGTGTGGGATAGTACGAGCAGGAATGGAGACAGGTGTGGGATAGTACGAGCAGGGGTGGAGACAGGTGTGGGATAGTACGAGCAGGGATGGAGACAGGTGTGGGATAGTACGAGCAGGGATGGAGACAGGTGTGGGATAGTACGAGCAGGGGCGGAGACAGGTGTGGGATAGTACGAGCAGGGATGAAGACAGGTGTGGGATAGTACGAGCAGGGATGGAGACAGGTGTGGGATAGTACGAGCAGGGGTGGAGACAGGTGTGGGATAGTACGAGCAGGGATGGAGACAGGTGTGGGATAGTACGAGCAGGGGTGGAGACAGGTGTGGGATAGTACGAGCAGGGATGGAGACAGGTATGGGATAGTACGAGCAGAGATGAAGATAGGTGTGGGATAATCCCAGCAGGGACGGGGATAGAAAGAACAGGGGGGGGGTTAGTAACAGTATGGCTGGGATAAATGATCAGTGAAAGGAGAGATAAGCATCGACGTGGGATAGTGAGAATAGGAGAATATCTAGCAGAGAAAGTTAAAGCTAGGCTACACACAAAACAGGGGATAGAGGCTAGTCCATGAAAATAGCCGTGAGAGGTAAAAAAAAAAGGGCAAGTCTAATTAGACGGCTAAGCTAGGAATTGGATAGGTCAGAGGAAAATTCAAGGCTAGGGATAATATCTAGGCTAGGGATAATATATAGGTCAGAGGAAAATTCAAGGCCAGGGATAATATCTAGGTTAGGGATAATATCTAGGCTAGAGAAAATATCTAGGCTAGGGAAAACATCTAGGCTAGGGGAAAACTACTAGGATATGGAACTAACTAGTAAAGAAACTAGACCAATGAGGAAAGGCTTAGCTAAGAACAAAAAAGATAGACAAGAAAAATGCTAGGCTAGAGAAAAGTCAATGAAAAAGGATAGGGCAGAGGTTAGGTGGCGGGAGTCAATATAAAAAGGATAGACAAAGAAAAAAACAAGCAGTACATCTCCTGTGCCAGGTAAGTCCACTACGGGCTCACCATAGCCCGTGCTACTTGCATCTATGTATTCAGAGAATCTGAATCTAAAAACAAAAAAAAAAAAATAAGTTCAATGTCACGGGAGGGAATTAATTTAATGTTAGAATGTCCTGAGTGGGAATTTTTGAAGTATATTAAAACACTTCAATACACAGAAAGCATAATTCAGAAACAATAAATAAATATTTCCAATTGAATAGGCGTCTTGCATATCTTGCGTACCAAATCATTACTATTTACAGTAATTATAAATAAAGAAACTTATATTTTTTAATAAAAAAAAGTTTCGAAATGGATATATGCAACATTCCATAATCACAATAGGGGCGTATAACATCGACTGTAAATTATGAACCTTAAGACAACTGAGAATATGATCCAGATTCCCATACACCCTCGTCTTCTCGAATCATTGCGACACCGAAGAAATTGTTAACCGTTTGGTTTATTTTGTTACAAAAGTGTTGGCCGGACTTTTGGAGGCTTCGGGGGACACTATATAAAAGCACTGTGACTTTTATGTTTTACATAGCGACAACACACAAGACACGCTTCAGAAATTAATGTATGTAAGGGGGGACATTCAAGCATTATTCAACTATTGAAAATTTATTAAATACTGCCTTACATTTAGTTGATACAGTAGAACTTGCATTATTTCGTTTGTCAGTTATATAACTGTGTGTGTGTGTGTGTGTGTGTGTGTGTGTGTGTGTGTGTGTGTAATTACCTAAGTGTAGTTACAGGATGAGAGCTACGCTCGTGGTGTCCCGTCTTCCCAGCACTCTTTGTCATATAACGCTTTTGTGTGTGTGTGTGTGTGTGTGTGTGTGTGTGTGTGTGTGTGTGTGTGTGTGTGTGTGTGTGAGATATGCAAGATCCCGAAAGTGAATTGAAAATGTGCTTGAGTGCATTGCTCGTCTTTCAACCAATCACCAGAGACTACTAGTTAATTACCGGTCTCGGTAATTCACTATGGGGCAATAACCAGATGAATGTCAAGGTCACTCTGGACCGACATGGATAATTATTGAATAATCGGATTACAGAAATTTTCGGATAATTTTCTAAATAAGCCACATTTCAACCGATCATTAAACACCAGATTAATGTGTTTATTATTTTGTTTAAAGCCAATTAGTGCCAAATTATTCACACACATTCACCACCTTGGACAATACAAATGTAAATTTTACATACATCTTCTAAATTAGGGATATAACAAACTAGCCGTTCTCCCAATTTGCTTAATTAGTGACGCACGAAGACGAATGTCTCCCCTAACCTATCAAGGATGCGCATAGAAAACGGAAATATTACGATGCTATAATTTTAAGTAACATATCGCATTTTTAACGGATTAGTGGATTCCGTCAAAAATATGCGGTGTATTAAGTCAATCTACATCTACTACGGACCAAATTACATAATTTTAATACTGTGTAAGCACATTTAAAAGCCGAGTTACTAGTTGTTAAATCCCTGCCCTGCGCTGTTTGAACTATTGTAAGTTTTCCATGCACAAACGGATCTGTTCTGGATCAATATGTCTGTTGCTGCTTGCAATAATTTTATTATATAATTTTCTCATTGTTGTTTATTTAATAATTGTAAATATATAATTGTTGTTAATATTCAATATACCAATATAAAAAATAAGAGGGTCGGCTCTCCCGAGTCACACTGTGGTGCCGGAGCCGACACTACCATCCTAAGGGATCCCTCGGTATTTACATATTATACTCATCCAATACGGGATTTAAAAAATGTATTTATCTAGTTCCTATATTCATGTGTGATTGGTTGACATTCTGCAGAGCTCGGTGTTAGCCAATCACTGGGGAGTCTTTCCTCTTTAGTCACTGGTGAATGCTACGTCACATTCCCGGAGAACCAATCAGGGGAGGGGGTGGCGAGAATTTTCCTTGTTCTGTATTGGCTACACAATCCTTGCGAAGAACCAATAAGGTGCGAGTTTTCCCACATTACCAAACACAAAAGGCAGTTATGTATTTAATAAATTGTTGTTATTTTCTTGATTTGGGGATCAAGAAAAAGTGACAAGGAGGGAAGCACCCTGCTTCATAAATGCAAGGAATGGCACACATCTGTCCTTTCTTACACTTAACAAAAAAATTATTTAAATATAAAAAAGATCTATTAAATAATTAATGAAATCTATATTTTGTTCAGCATTAAAAAATAATTATTACTACTACTGTTATTACTACTGATACAACGTATGCATTTCTCACGGGATTAACGCTAAAATACTACATGCTACAAAAAATACAATTGCTAAAAATACCTTATCCTAGGATATCCAGGAGTAGATTGGGGAATCTAGGCAATACAGGTACTTTAAAGGGCAGGAAAGTTTGTAAGCAAGATTTCAGTCAACTTTTGCTGCATGTCTGACCACAAGGTAGGTTGGCATTTAGAAGGTAAGTTCTGGGAACCACCGAGGGTATATTTGCTAACCTCAGCAAACATAAAATGGGTTTTAAGTTTATTGCTCTGTAGTTTCAACATTTATTAGAACGTTGCATCGACGTTAGAACGTTGTTTCGACGTTAGAACGTTGTTTCGACGTTAGAACGTTGTTTCGACGTTAGAACGTTGTTTCGACGTTAGAACGTTGTCTCGACGTTAGAACGTTGTTTCTACGTTAGAACGTTGTTTCAACGTTGTTAGAACGTTGTTAGAACGTTGTTTCTACGTTAGAACGTTGTTTAAACGTTGTTAGAACGTTGTTTCAACGTTGTTAGACCGTTGTTTCAACGGTGTTAGAAAGTAGTTTCAACGTTGTTTCAACGTTTGTTAGAACTGTTTCAACGTTTGTTAGAACGTTGTTTCAACGTTTGTTTGAACTGTTTCAACGTTTGTTTGAACTGTTTCAACGTTTGTTAGAACGTTGTTTCAACGTTTGTTAGAGCGTTGTTTCAACGTTTATTAGAACGTTTCAACGTTTATTAAAACGTTGTTTCAACGCTGCCTCAGAGTAGGAACAACTTTCTGACTACGTTGGGTACTTGCTGGGGAGGCTATCTTAGCAGGTTTCAAACTGTTTATGTAAAAGGGAATCCTTTTCCTGTATTATATGGATCCTAAACCAAGCAATCAAAATGTTCAGTCATGTACACATTGTTCTAACAAGTTACAGACGATCAAGGAAGACTTCAAGTGTTTTAATACAGTCCACCAACCACGTGCTCTGTTGGTCCTTGGTATATTCCACCAACCACGTGCTCTGTTGGTCCTTGGTATATTCCACCAACCACGTGCTCTGTTGGTCCTTGGTATATTCCACCAACCATGTGCTCTGTTGGTCCTTGGTATATTCCACCAACCACGTGCTCTGTTGGTCCTTGGTATATTCCACCAACCACGTGCTCTGTTGGTTCTCAATACAGTCCACCAACCATGTGCTCTGTTGGTCCTTGGTATATTCCACCATGTGCTCTGTTGGTTCTCAATACAGTCCACCAACCATGTGCTCTGTTGGTCCTTGGTATATTCCACCAACCACGTGCTCTGTTGGTTCTCAATACAGTCCACCAACCATGTGCTCTGTTGGTCCTTGGTATATTCCACCAACCACGTGCTCTGTTGGTCCTTGGTATATTCCACCAACCACGTGCTCTGTTGGTTCTCAATACAGTCCACCAACCATGTGCTCTGTTGGTCCTTGGTATATTCCACCAACCACGTGCTCTGTTGGTTCTCAATACAGTCCACCAACCATGTGCTCTGTTGGTCCTTGGTATATTCCACCAACCACGTGCTCTGTTGGTTCTCAATACAGTCCACCAACCATGTGCTCTGTTGGTCCTTGGTATATTCCACCAACCACGTGCTCTGTTGGTTCTCAATACAGTCCACCAACCACGTGCTCTGTTGGTCCTTGGTATATTCCACCATGTGCTCTGTTGGTTCTCAATACAGTCCACCAACCACGTGCTCTGTTGGTCCTTGGTATAGTCCACCAACCACGTGCTCTGTTGGTTCTCAATACAGTCCACCAACCACGTGCTCTGTTGGTTCTCAATACAGTCCACCAACCACGTGCTCTGTTGGTCCTTGGTATATTCCACCAACCATGTGCTCTGTTGGTTCTCAATACAGTCCACCAACCATGTGCTCTGTTGGTTCTCAATACAGTCCACCAACCACGTGCTCTGTTGGTTCTCAATACAGCCCACCAACCACGTGCTCTGATGGTTCTCAATACAGCCCACCAACCACGTGCTTTCCTAACTACAGTACATCTGACTACAGCTGTGATGTCATTGATGTAGGTGTAATGAAACAATTGACGAAGGTGTCATTGTGGCAATATGGTTCCCGTAGCAGAGTGGTCCCCGTCCTCGGTTCACAACCGAAGTACCCGGGTCAATCACCAGCCAGGACAGACAAGGTTGGACATGTTTCTTTTCGCCTGATAAGCCTGTTCACCTGGGAGTACAGTAGGTACTCGAGAATTAGGCTATTGTGGGCAGCATACTGGGGTGATGTTAGTATTTGGGACAGTAAGGACCCTGATAAGCTTAAGCATATACACACGCACATTATATATATATATATATATATATATATATATATATATATATATATATATATATATATATATATATAAAAGACTGATATGAAGAATTATGGTGGTTGTTGGTGGTGGTAGCGGGGAAGAGAATGTTTGTAGCTAAAGAAATGGTAACAGCCCTGTTTGTCATTAACCCAAAGAAGTGTTTGAAACAGAGGAGCATAGTAGGAACAGTCAAAGTGATAATACTTAAGAAACCAATGCGTGAAAATAATATTTTAGATTTAGTGTTAATGAACAGGGAAACACAAATTAATGACATCGAAATAGGGAGTGAGCTAGGGAACAGTGATCACAACAAAATCAGATTTAGCATAGAATGGAATAGATCTGTAGGAAAAAAATCCGTTAAAGTGCCAGATTTTCGAAAAGCTGATTTTAATAGCCTAAGAATTTTTGGGGGGTCAAATAGATTGGAAATTCTTGGGCATGGGGGGTGGGCCGGTCTTGGAGCGAGACATGAACCCAACGATAGGTGACGTTAAAAGGGATTTCGATGTGGATTCAAAATATAACTTATTTAAAAATATTCTAAACAAAGCAAAGGAACGTAGTATTTCATACAAATTGAATAGATCGAATACTAATGACCCAAAATGGATAACAAAGGATTTGAAGAACCTTATAGGTAGGAGGAGAGCTTGGTACAAAAGGATTAGGCATGAGGAAGTCAGTTTAGAACAGGAATTCATACAACTGGTTAGAAATGTTAAAAAGAGAGAGAGAGAGATAAGTAGGGCAAAAAGAAACTATGAAGTTCGCATAGCAGGGCAAGCAAAGACAAATCCTAAAGAGTTTTTCAGTTATATCATACAAAGATTAGGGAAAGGATAGGTTCATTAAAAACTGAGACAGGTCAGATAACGGATAATGACGAGGAGATGAGTAGTACTTTTAATAAATATTTTATCTCTGTATTTACTAAAGAGGAACTCCAGCATAGTTGAGGCAGTTGATAGTGGTAAGGATTGTGATGTTGTGTACCTTGACTATATCAAACCTTTTGATACAGTGCCACATGAAAGACTGATCAAAAAGATAGAGGCTCATGGTATTGGGGGTGCTATATTAAGTTGGATTAGGGCATGGCTATACCAAAGGAAATAGAGTTAGTATAAATGGGGTTAAGTCAGAGTGGGATAATGTTGTAAGTGGAGTGCCTCAAGGCTCTGTCCTGGGACCTCTGCTGTTTATAATACATATAAATGATTTAGATTCAGGTTTGAGCAGCAATATTTGCAAATTTGCCGACACAAAAATCGGTAGGGAAATAAACACGGAAAAAGATTCACTATCACTTCAAGTCAATCTAAATAGGGTTTTGAAATGGTCAAAAGATTGGCAGATGCAGTTTAATGCTGATAAATGTAAAGTTTTGATGCTAGGTAATGATGATAAAAGTTACAAGATACGAGCTAGATGGTGTTGAGATTGTGAAGCTGGATTGTGAAAGGGATCTGGGAGTTATGATTATTAAGAAATTAAAACCAAGAGATCAATGCATAAATGTTCATAATAAGGCAAATAGGACACTGGGATTTATTAATCGAAGAGTTGGTAGCGGGACACCTGGTGTTGTTCTTCACCTATATCTTGCTCTGGTTAGGCCCCATTTAGATTATGCAGTTCAGTTTTGGTCGCCGTACAATAGAATGGATATAAATTCATTTGAACGTGTCCAGCGTAGGATGACAAAGTTAATTCCCCCAAATTAGAAACCTGTCATATGAAGACAGATTAACAGAGCTTGGATTGCATTCACTGGAAGGGCAAAGGGTTGGGGGTGACATGATGGAGGTTTACAAGTGGATGAATGATCATAACAAAGGGGATATTAATAGGGTTATCTTGAGGTTATCTTGAGATGATTTCGGGGCTTTAGTGTCCCCGCGGCCCGGTCCTCGACCAGGCCTCCACCCCCAGGAAGCAGCCTGTGACAGCTGACTAACACCCAGGTACCTATTTACTGCTAGGTAACAGGGGCATTCAGGGTGAAAGAAACTTTGCCCATTTGTTTCTGCCTCGTGCGGGAATCGAACCCGCTCCACAGAATTACGAGTCCTGCGCGCTATCCACCAGGCTACGAGGCCCCTAATTATTAAAAGGGTATTAAAAGGGTATTAAAAGTTTCAACACAGGACGGGACATGAAACAATGGGTGTGGATTGGATAAGTTTAGATTGAGGAAAGACATGGGTAAATACTGGTTCGGTAACAGGGTTGTTGATTTGTGGAACCATTTACCGCATAACGTGGTGGAGGTGGGGTCCCTCGATTGTTTCAAGCGTGGGTTGGACACGTATATGAGTGGGATTGGGTAGTTATAAATAAGAGCTGCCTCGTATGGACCAATAATCCTTCTGGAGTTATCTTTGTTCTTAAGTTATAATAATTTGACAATGTATTTTGGAACTATGTAAGTTGTCGAGTGGTAGTTTCAAAGACGATTACAAGGGGGGACCAAAGTAGTTTTTCAGGTACAGTAAAATATCGTCATGTTAGGTCGTCAAAATGACACATACGGACACGAGCATGGTAGTGCAACCACAACACCACATGAACTAAAATACTCAAGATACACTAAGATTATAATTCATGAAATATTCTTACTCATCTCATAAGCTGTGATACGCAGATGGCAACACTGACAACGATATATCAATGGACAACTTACACAGACACTAGCGTATAGAATACATTATTCCCCCCCCCCCCCCGACATTGTTTCATCACATTTCATGTCAACGAGTGATAGGATGCGATGCAAAGCAACACTCACAGAGCGCACATACATAAAGAACATATGAAAACAAACACCAAACTGTTGCCATCGGGGTGGGTTTACACAGTAGGGCGGGAGAGGTCGGGAAAGAGATGCATTCTCTTGTGCAATATTCAACACCTGATGGTAGAATGCATGTCTACGGCTATGTATCAGGATGTCTATTTTACAGGTTGACGGAGGGGGGGGGGGGTGGGAATGGGTGGTAAGGAAGTAGGTTACGAGCTAAACAACACAACATGGTATTTTAAACAAAAGAAAAACATTCACTAGGTCACGATGCGTTTTCACTGAAAGACGAAATCAGTGTTTACAAATGCAGTAGGGTGTGCCAGACAAGAATACAAAATTTACACAAGTTTCCCATGCTTTCTCACAGGCAATTTCCATTTTCTGTGAGTAATTCCCGTGCTCTGTGATAGGTTTTAGACCTATACTCTGTTATTTTTAATATAGTCGCAGCAGCATCATCAGTCGTGCGATACTAACCTTGTAGACGTTGACGGGGGAGACAAGCTCAGCGGGATGGTGGGTGGCGGGAGGCAGAAGGGCCGAGGGTGACGCCAGGCTGAGAGTGAGCCCTGGAGGAGGAGGCTGCCTTGCGATGCCCTCCTCCACTACCTCCTCCTCGTGCCCAGCCTCGCTCCGCCTCAGCTGACATAAGGTCAAACGTTTTCAAACTCAAAAAGCAAACGAGAATTTAGTGAAAAAACAAAATGGCGGAGTGGCAGTGACGGTATTAAATCTCTCATATATACAGTTTTTTTGTGTAATAGAGGGCAGTGTGTCTTAAAGTTGCAGTGAATTGATGTTAGTCAACTGAACAACTTTCAAATCATCCTTGGTCATCCATCATCCATCTGACCAACAAGTGTGTGTGTTGGAGTGTTTATTGATCTCTGTTCTGTAGCAGCGGAAGGCGTTTCGTATTTAACAAGATTACCTGTGAAGCCACAGCAAGAGACCCCCCCCCGAACCCCCCCCCCCGAACCCCCCCCCCCAACCCTCCGAACATCCCCCCACCCCAACCAAACACCTCCCCCCCCATCTGACGGGTAACTAGGGAACGATCAATGACCACCCACTTCAAGGTCCCCAGGGTGGAGACTGGCCTGAGTGGGTAATGGGATCTCCATGTTACACACTCCCATTAACCAGGCATCGTTAATGGAAGCTTCTTGTAACGCACCCATTACATAGACATCGCTAATGCAAGCTTTCTGTAACGCTCCCATTACCTAGACATCGCTAATGGAAGCTTCCTGTAATGCCCATTACCTAGACATCGCTAATGAAGCCCCCATTTCACACCCATTACCTAAAGGAAGCCCCCTTTTTACATATCCATTACCCAAGCATTGCTAATGAAAGCGCCCCGTTACATACCCATTACATGAGCACGTTTAAGGAAGGTAACCATTAATGGGTGCCTAATAAAACTTCCCTGTTACACTAATTACCCAGACATCGCTTATGGAAGCAACCCATTGATTGCATCGCTAATGGAAGCTACCCATTAATTCTATCGCTAATGGATGCTACACCTTGACCAGTGTCTACCTAAAAGGATCTATACCTGTTTCACGCCCATTACCTATTGATTCGTTAATAGAAGTTACCCATTGACGCCCCCCCCCCCATCATCTCTCTGATGTACGATAATAAACCTAATCTCAACCCCCGGGATAGATTATATATATATATATATATATATATATATATATATATATATATATATATATATATATATATATATATATATATATATATATATATATATATATATATATTATATTTCTTGAAAAATACTGACAGAACGTACAAAAACGGACGGTTGTAGCCCTTAAAAAAAAATTTAACATTCTGAACTATTAATTTTAAAGCGGCCACGACAAGGGGAGCAGCCAAGCCTCAACATTCCAGCCCTAGATATATATATATATATATTATATATATCCTAAATTAGGCCTAAAAGGGTAGTTAATAGTCATATGATCTAAGACAGGTTCGGTTAACTTATTGGTCTATGGTGTGTTTCAGACACAATATACACTTTTAGGGCACTACGGTAATTTTTTGTACGTTCGACCAATAGTTTAGTTCATTTATATTGAAATGAATATATTATTTTTTTTATTTAAACTATATTTTAAACTTTATACTTTATACATAGTCTTGTAGTTATACATTAAAATCAACAATTTCCAATATACAAAAATATTTGTGTGTGTTTTACTATTTGTTTTTAATATTTGTATTTAGTTGCTGCAGAATCGAGCTATTAGCTCTTGGACCCCGTCTTTCTATCCGTCTGTTTTTGTCACTAATATTTCTACTACGTGTATTTCTAACACACACACACACACACACACACACGCACGCACGCACGCACACGCGCGCGCGCGCACACACACACACACACACACACACACACACACACACACACACACACACACACACACAGGAAGCAGCCCGTAGCAGTTGTCTAACTCCCAGGTACCTATTTACTGCAAAATGAACAGAGGTATCAGGGGTGAAAAACTTTGCCTATTTGTGTCTGATTTGGCCGGGAATCGAACCCGGGCCATTAGGACTACGACCGCTGAACACTGTCTACTCAGATGAGGCCCCTGCGTGCGTGCGTGGTTGCTTGTGTGTGTGTGTGTGTGTGTGTGTGTGTGTGTGTGTGTGTGTGTGTGTGTGTGTGTGTGTGAGAGAGAGAGAGATGCTTGATGAAGATTAAGCCACTCAAGAGGTGGCACGGGCATGAATAGCCCGTAAACGTGTGAGAGAATGTATATAATGTATGAAAGTATAAACCCACCTTAAGCCTCAGGTTCTGGGCTCTGGTATAGCCCCAAGGTCGCCCCACCAGCTGGTCAAAGGTCAGTGACTTGGGCAGCATCGCTGGGGTACAAGGGGGGCCACTTGTAAAGTAGGGGAGACCTACCCACTTATTCACTAGTGGGTGGAGTCGCCCACCATCCACACCAATGACTCGGTGTTCTCCATTATAAAAAAACCTACGTCAGACCAGTATGTGTGCGTGCAGCGCCCAGGAAGAACCCCGTGACGTATGTAATACACAGATCTTGTGTATGACGTATGGTTCTAACGAGGCACGGATGGTTCAATTCTGGACGGATTCGCCAGTCGATGACATGAGATTAAATTGACATCACTGTAAATTAACATCAATGTAAACTAGCATCAATGTAAATTGATTTAAGCCTAAGGTTATGTTCAAAGGAAACCCAATTTTGTTTATAATTTAATCTTCTGTAATCACTTTGTTTTCTTTAGTCCACTTCATTTATATTAATACGCTTTTTCTCATAAATTTGCATTCACTTCCTTAATTTACAATGGGAAAACTGTCCAATGTCTGAAATTATCATCCTGGTTCATCATTTTAAATTTTCATGAAAATGTTCACAGTTTGTAAATTTGTTTATAAATTCCCGCTACTTGTCCGGGGAAGATCTCCACCCCATCTCAAGTCTATATGTTTACAACAAATTTTCCACTTTGATATAATCTGCGTCAATCACAAAAGACAATTATGTCTAAATTATTTTAATTCTCCATCTCTCACTCCGAGTCTTTGAGTCTTTGTTCAATCTTTCCCCACAAAACAGTTTCAAACAAAACTGATTGAAAACTGACATTCAAAACTTGTAAACAAAAATGATATTTTGTTAATATATCGCAACTTATCCACTGCATCAACATTATATACAACATCGGAATCCTTTTTCAAGTGTTTAGAAACGTACAAATATTACACAGTGAACAATGAATATCTCCATTGTTAACTTCACTGGTCGTTGAGAGACAGTGTAAACAGGGGGTGACAGATGGGGTGACAGATGGGGTGACAGGGGTGACAGATACGGTGACAAGATGACACATACGGTGACAAGATGGCAGATACGGTGACAAGATGACATATACTGTGACAAGATGACAGATACGGTGACAGAAGATGTCATTAATACCATATAACATAACTATATACCAGAAAATATAAAAAAGCTATATCAAGGAAATCCTACAAACGTAAATACCCGTACAATCTGTACTCTCCAACAATACATCGCATTTTGACCTCAAAATCCCCGACGTCAAAATCTGGTGTACTACCATTCACCGCAGTTCGCTAAATGAACGGGGTGTCCCGTTTTCTATGCGTGGGTTCTCTGTTAGGTTCGGGTTGACCCCTAGCTCTCCGCCATAAGGGAGGTCGGATGCCAGAAGGGTATATGCACCCTAAATAAAAGTGGGAAGTGGAATGGAGAGGAGAGAGAGAGAGAGAGAGAGAGACGACCGATCACCTGATAAAACCAAAATGACTAAATTCTGATGCAAATTAATCCACAATAATTTCCTCCCAATAAAGACATAAGCCATCAATATACACACATGCACTGCTCTTAACCAGCCACTCACAGTGCAAAGTTCCCCTAAGTACAGACAAGTGGATCACCACCACTATTGTGTCCCAGTTGCTTCACATACACTTGGTGCCGGGAAAAAAAAGTGCTAATAGTTGTGTTGAAGGTTCTAATCTCATCAAAACACCACGAGACCCAAGAGCTGCCAAGATTTCTATTGAGGTGCCTCAACATGGCAATACAGAGGCGCAACATGGCACATTGCATTACGCATTCTACGTAAACAATGTTGTAACCCATCTTGTCTAACTCTAACGTTCTCTCAGCAACGTTTCCTTTAATACCTTGGAATAATTTCTACCGTGGGGACGCAATTCTGTTATGGAGAGAGATTTTATTTGTTATTTTTACAATATGCGGTCAATTCAGCGAGCATTGGGAACTGATCCCTATCTTGGGAAAAGATACTTTCAGCTAAACGCTACAGAGGAAATTATTCAGACCTTTTTATACTGCATAATATCACCTTCACATGAATATGAAGACTACGATCATATTCTTCTACACTGAAAGTGTTTATATAAAAACAAGTCATGGTTTTAGCGATATATATATATATATATATATATGGCACAACTCTCCTAAACACGAGAGTTAAGTATACAACTTTAGAACACTTTCCCACCAGGAGACTCGAACCCTAGCCAGCACAGAAGCCTTCCAGCAACTGGCATAACAGGTACGCCTTAACCCTCTGCACCACCGCTCAGACCCTTAAAAGAGATGGTAATTTCGGAGTATTTAAATCCCCCAAAGATCAACACCTCCCAAGAGCACCAGAGCAAGTGAGGGGTCATTTAGACGTTAATTTCATCAAGTCCCTGTTAATATGGGAAGACACAGTGTCTCTGCTTAAGGCACAACTCTCCTAAACACGAGAGTTAAGTATACAACTTTAGAACACTTTCCCACCAGGAGACTCGAACCCTAGCCAGCACAGAAGCCTTCCAGCAACTGGCATAACAGGTACGCCTTAACCCTCTGCACCACCGCTCAGACCCTTAAAAGAGATGGTAATTTCGGAGTATTTAAATCCCCCAAAGATCAACACCTCCCAAGAGCACCAGAGCAAGTGAGGGGTCATTTAGACGTTAATTTCATCAAGTCCCTGTTAATATGGGAAGACACAGTGTCTCTGCTTAAGGCACAACTCTCCTAAACACGAGAGTTAAGTATACAACTTTAGAACTCTTTCCCACC